CCGCACAGATCACCCCTCCCCTTCCAACCCTCGCCCTGCCCTCCCAGTCTTCCACCTTCATCCTGGCATCTCAGCCTCCCCCCTGCTTCCTGATCAGCTCCTGGACCTCCCGACACTGGTCTTCTCTGGACTCTGTCCTCACACCTCCTCCATCCACTCTGCTCCCTTGGAGGCTGCACCCAGGCTCAGGCACCCCTGGTATGGACCTCTCTGCTGACTCCAAATTCACACAGTCAACTGTCCTCCCTACATCTCCACTCAGATGCCCAAAGGCAACTTAAATGTAGCCCGTCCAAACCCCATTCCCGCTCTTCCTGCAGAAAAGCTGCCCCTCACAGCTACCCTGCCAGGGAAGCTGGCAGCTCTGACCTTCCTGTCGCCAGGCCAGACCCCGGGGGCATGCTTGACTCCTCTCTTTCCTTCCCAGCCCATCTATCTGCAAACCCAGTGGGCTCTGGCACAACAGAATCCACCCCGAAGCTGACCACTCTCCATATCTGCCCCCTGCCTCCCCGAGCCTGGCTGACTGCAACAGCTCTCAACAGGAGGGCTCCTGGCTCCCACACTGGTGTCCCCACCTCCACGGATTATTCTTAATTTAGCAGCCAAACGTGATTGTTTGAAAACATCAGACAGATGGTGTCTCTCTTCTGCTCGAAACCCTCCAGTGACTTCCCACTGCCCACTGCCTCCCCTCCCCAGCCCGCCCCTGCTCCAGCCACACTCCTGCCTCCGTGCTTTGCACCTGCACTTGCCCTCAGCCCGAAATGCTCTACCACCCGATGCCTGCTCCGCCTTCAGGTCTTAGCTCGGAGGTCACCTCCTCAGTGAGGCCTCCTGACCACCCTTTTTGACATCATGAGCCCCCTCCCCAGCACTCCCCATCCCCCTTCTCTGTTATGTTCCTCCAGAGCTCAAATATCATCTGACATGTTTTTCTCCTGGTCTGTTCCCTCCCGCCCCCACCAGTAGAATGGAGAGCTGTTGTGTATGGGATTTGTCTTTTTCACTACACTCTACCCAGTGTCTACTTGAAAACGGGTCCGGGCGATGACTTGAAAACGTAATCGGCGTTCAGTGAACACTGAATGAATGATGGTCCGTTCCCATGGCAGGGACTCCCCGAGACACAGATTAAGGCACTTGCCTGACGTACCCCAGCTGCTAAGTGGGGAGAGCACAGTAGCAACTCTGCTCTGTTTGTCTCCAAGCTTTTGCTCTGGGGGGCGAGTAGTCTGGTGGCTAAGAGCCACCTTGGTGGCAGACAGACTACAGTCCCAGGCCTGACTTTTAGGCTCTGAGGCTTCCTAGGCAGGTTGCTTAAATTCCCTGAACTTCAGACCCCTCACCTACAAAACGAGGCAAACAAAAGCAGCCTCAGAGAACAGTTGTAACGAAGAAAGGAGTTCAGGCACCCGGAGCACTCTGGGTGTTATTACTCTTATCAATATCTAAGGCCAGGCCTCCGCTCACATGCGAGGCACGTCCTCAGTGGGTCTCGGGAGCCGTTCGCAGCACCCCTAACCCTCCCTTGCTCTGTTGTCGGAGGCACGGGAGATGAGCTGGTGACTGATGTGATAATTTCACTGAAGTAGCAAAGTCAGTCGTTTTCTCTGTGACGGGATTTAACGGGCGCCATTCGATCCTACAGATCACTTTTAGCCGAGTGATCTGTAGGTCTAGAATCTAACAGGTCCATGGAGATCCCAGATGCCAGCTCCAGCACCAAAGAGGAAACTCCTCAATAAGAACCGCCAGCCTCAAATCGTTTGGAGCGAGGATATAAGGAACCATCACCAAAAACGCCACTGGAGGGCTCTTCCAGATGCTTTCTGTGGTGTTGGTACCTGGAACTCTGCAACACATCATCCCCTCCATTCTAGAGATAAGGAAACAGAGGGACGTGCTGGGAGCCACACAGCTGCATTTTGGTGGGACTGGACTTGAATGCGGGCCAGCCAGACCCTACAGTCCAGGCTCACTCCTTGTACCAGGCAGCCTGGCCTCACTGGTCTCTGTCTCAGGAAGTCTTGGTTGACATTTGATTGATGGGATAAACACACCTCCTGGGAGGCCCATTCAGACAGAGTATTTGTTCAATAACCCACTTGTACAACAAAAATGGAACCAGGGCACTTTATTCTCTTCCAAGAGAGGTAGACAGGGCAGTGATGGTTCTTTTGATACAAAATGGGATCCTGAGGCCCAAAGGAGGTGGACACGTCTGAGCCGTAGTCAGTGTGGGACCTTCGGGTGTACTGGTTCCTCTGGACCAGCTTCCTTTCTCCCCTTCCTGGGGACCCACACTGGCTACCTCCTTCTGGGCATAGCCAACTTCTGTCTACCCTCCACCTGAGCACGGGCTGCTCCTCCCTCCCCCTTCCTCCTCCGCAGCACCCTCGATCTCCTCAAGCCTTCACTCGCGGGTATTTACGCCTGCCCTCCCCGCTACATCATGCACTGCCTGTGGGCATGGAGAGCTGCAGTCTTGCCCACATAGCACAGTGCCCGGCAAATAGCAGGAACTCGAGGGGTTTGCAAAATGAGTAATGAATGACTTCTCCAGTGGGCGAGAATCTATCAGGAGGTTAGAACCCGGCTGGAAGGTCCACTCCTCGGTAGTTTTCCACTGGGTTCCCAGCACTTCAGTGGAAAGAGCTCAATGCAAGTACTGGTGGGTGGTGGGTAGACAGATGACAGACAGGCAGAGGGTGGGAAGATGGAGGAAACACTTCCCTTTTGGGTGGTGGCTTTTGATTTTGACTTTCTTTCCTGCAGGCAGCTCTAGAAATCTAAGGATGAACTGAGCCGGAAGAGAGGAGCCAGGGCTAGAGGCAGCCCCACCTGCCCATCCCACCTGCAGCCTAGGCTCTGCTCCTGCTGCTAACGGACCTCACCTGAAGCCCACCCAGTCCTCCCTCTGACCCCAAGTCCTGGGACATGGCTGCCAGTTTGCAGAGACGCCCCTCATCTTCCCCTCCCTGCTGGCTTGCACTGTGAGACACCATGGCCTTCCGCCCCCATGCTACTCCAGAGCTGGGGGGAACCCGTCTTTTTTCCAAAACATATTCAGAAAAGAAACTCCCAGAGCTCCTTCTGGAGCAGAAGTGAGCTTTCTTCTACAGCAGAAATGGTCATATCTGTGCCACCTCATCCTTCACCACTCACCACTCAAGCCACATCTGAAATGTGGCTACGGTGACTGAGAGATTGAATGTTTGATTTCATTTTCATTAATGTGAAAATTAATTAGCCACCTGTGGTAAATGGCAACCAGATTGGACTGTGAGGTTCTAGAGCCAATTCCCGCAGCAGCTCCACCCTCCGGCCAAGCCTAAGAGTTGCTCCTGGGTCCTGAATAACCCCTCTCTACCAATAGCTGCTCTCTGTCTCTTTCCCATCATGTCTTTAAAAAACCACAACAAAACCTCAATCCAAGTCCGGATGTAACTCTTGTCTTTTATTCCAGCATCTCCCAGAGCTCCAATATGTACAGACTTTATTTATACACATATAATATACACCATATATACGTATTTATAGATATTCACACACCAGCCCACACACTCACACACACTCACACGCACACACCCTTCCAGGAGGGGTGTGTGGCTGCCTTGGAGCCCCGCTAGGGCCCAAACAAGTGATACTGGGCTTGCCAGGCAGTTGTGAGGTTTTGTGTTTTTTGCTTTTAAAAAGAAGGCCATTTCCTCCAGATGTGTCCTCCCTCTCCCCAAGCCCTAAAACTTCTCCCCAAAACACTCTGAAAATTTTTTTAAAAAAGAAGAGGTTTTCCTTTGCTCTGCCCAAGTAGTTTCTGGAGTGTCCAGGCCCAACCACACATCCCGTGCAGGTCTCTAGAGCACAAGAGCCGGTTGTAGCCTCGGTCAGGCCTGCAGCTGTGCCCTCTGAGGGGAGACGGGAGGGGCTATAGCATCAAGGGCACCTGCCAGATGAGGAGGGTGCTGTCGGTCTCCCCACACGGGGCCGGCCTCCCACTGCTGCCCAGTGGGCTGCCGAAGTTGCGGTAGCCCTGCCCACCGGAGATGATGGCCACGGAGCAAATCTCCTTGCGGTGGGCGTCGCGGGCGCAGGGCCGGCTGCGCACCCAGACGTCGGGGTCGTCGGCCATCTCGTAAATGGAGCCGTCCTCCTCGCTGTGCTCCAGGGCCGCGCCGTCAGCAGGCGCCGGCTCCCGCATGGAGAGCAGCGGGCCCGGGAGGTGCGCGGTGGAGCGCAGGCGGTACTGCAAGAGGATGCCCTTCTTGCGGGTCAGCTCTCGGCCCACGTGGCTGTCGGGCACGGGCTCGTGTGCCTGCCCGTCTGGCTTGTCCTCCTCAGCCCGGGGCCCCTCAGCCTCCTCCTGGTCACTCCGCAGGATGTCGGGGGCCAGGATGCTGGTAGCTACAGCCAGGAAGGCCACAGGCCCACAGTGCCCGTTGAGTGAGACCATGCCTTTCCCTGCAGAAAATGGGGCGAGAGAGAAAGGGGCCCAAAGGCCCAGCGCATTAAGGGAGGCGCCTGAGTCTCTCTCCTGGAGAACTCTCTGTGTGGGTATTTTGGGGGAGGGGGTCACTTCTTCTATGTTGGCACCTCCCCCGAAGGCCACGGGTCTGGCTATCCCGTGCTCCTGCACAACTTCCTCAGGGGAGCAGAACAGGAACCACCTTATACACCACACGGGGGAGCCTCAGTGTGAAATTCCAAGAATTTTCTCGTCTCTGAGCCTTTGCCAAAGAGGCTGCCTCTACCTAGAAATCCTTTCCCGTCTACCTGATTCTGCAACTCTTTCTGCAAGGCCCTGCTCAAGCTCCTCACTGTGAATCCCTCCTGAATTCATGCATGGGGAGCTGCCCGTCGCAGTCTCTGTGTCCCCAGCCCCCGGAGCACCCTCATCCCAGCACCTGTCACCTGAGCTATGATGACACCCAGGAGACCATCAGCTTGTTGAGAGCAGGGTCTCTCTCTGCCTGATTCATCCCCACATCCCAGGATTCCACCTGGAAATAGACCCTCCACCAATGCCTTTTGGATGGACAAAATGCCCTATTTGATGAGACCTTGAAAATAGAAAATCTCAGAATTTAGAAGCTTTTTTTTTTTTTTTGAGATGGAGTCTCACTCTGTCCCCCAGGCTGGAGTGCAATGGCACAATCTCTGCTCACTGCAACCTCCACGTCCCAAGTTCAAGAAATTCTCTTGCCTCAGCCTCCCAAGTAACTAGGATTACAGGTGTACGCCGCCACGCCCAGCTTTTTTTTTTTTTTTTTTTTTTTTTTTAGGTAGAGACGGGGTTTCACTATGTTGCTCAGGCTGGTCTCAAACTCCTGAGCTCAGGCAATCCACCCGCCTCAGCCTCCCAAAGTGCTAGGATTACAGGTGTGAGTCACCGTGCCCAGCCAAAGCAACTCTTCCTTAGCAGAAGGACTTGAGGTCTGCGCAGGGAGCCGGCCCACCCCCAGGGCTTCCGATCGGCCCTGCTCCCTTGCTGAAAGAGACCACAGTCATCATTATCAGGGCAGAGGCAGAAGGGGCTCCAGGCATCCAAGTGTGGGGGGCTTCTTGTTCTCCTGGGCCCAGTGGCAGAGATCGGAGCAGACCTTCGTCTGATCTATGCGAACACATTCATTTGCACAGGGACCCCACGAGGAGGCTGGGCCTGGCTCCAGAAGCACTTAGTTATTTCTCTCTCTGGAGCCTGGACATCTTGAAACTGCTATGGGAAGGAGCAGAAAGGGCCAGTGGGGCCGCTGCCATTAGGCAGGTGTCTCAGCCAGGCCCCAAGCCACTCTTGTGTTCATCTGCCAGATTAGGAAACTGAGACTCGGAAAGGTGGGAGACTGTGGGGCTGGGACGATTCAGTTCTACTGGCCACCATGCCACCTGAGATGACAGGAAGCTGGAGACTGGAACCCCATCCCCATACCGATGAGGGCATAATACACCCTCCCTGCGGAGCCCCACCGGCCAGCCGTAGCTGACCACCAGGTCCTGCCAACACCAGCTCCCAAAGCCTCACCTGTGATCTTAGGGATGCCCTCCAGCCGAGGCACAGGCAGCAGGACGATGACACCCTGGTCAGTGCCCACCCAGAGCAGACCCTGGCAGATCAGGAGGCTGGTGACACATAAGTGTTTCTGGCCTGCAGAGAGAGAGGGTGGCTGAGCAGTGCCCTCCTGGGGAGATGGCATGGGCTCTGGGCGTCACCACGAGGTGAGGGCATGGCACAGTGGGCTCCTCCCCTGAAACCAGCAAGAAGCTGGATGGTGGGGTGGGTAAGAGCTGGGGCTTTGGGGGCTAACCTGCCTGGGGTCTGGCCATGGGGTCCTCCAGCTGGGCACTCCCCTAACCAGCCTCAGTTTCCTCCTGTATAAAGTGGGGTTGCCATGCGGACGCATTGGGGGAACACCACAGGCACAGTGCCTGATCTATGTGCACTCTCAATACACGGCGGCCAGGTCATCTGGCACAAAGGGTTGTCCAAGGGCAACCCAAGCAGGGATCCAGCTGGCCAGCTACAAGCAAAACCAGGGAAGACTGGGGAGGTGCAAGCTTCTCAACGGTGTTGGTGCAGATGGAAGGCATAAGGGCCGGGTAGGGCTCGAGAGGCATCCAGGTGGGTCTGCTGCAGCCCTCAGGGCCTGCCTGTGTGGATGCTTCAGATGAGGTCATAGCACACCCTGCAGGCCCTGGGCCCAAGAGTGAAGCAGAAAACTCGCTGGTGGGAAGAGCATGTTTCCAATGCCAGCCCAGATTCATTCCTCTTAGCTCTCCCCTCAGTGCTCTCTCTTCATTTTAGCAAGAATGGCAATGTCAGGGAGGCCTGGGGGCAGTCCCCCGCTCCTGACAGAGAAGACGCCAGGTGTGGGCTGCCCAGCACAGTGGCTGAGAACAGGGCTCCAGAGCCAGGTGCGGGGCTCACACCTCGGCTCTGCCACTCTCCTGCTACGTGACCTGGGGCCTGTCCTAAACTCCTCTGGGCCATGGTGTCCTCACTTGTAAAAGGGGACAAGGATAATACAGTCACATGTCACATAATGACCTTTCGGTCAACAACAGACCATGTATACAATGGCAGTCCTATGGGACCATATTTTTACTGTCCCTTTTTGATGTTTAGAACACAAATACTCTCCATTGGGTTAAATGAATGAACGTAAAACAACCCTGTGCCCACACATGGCACAATGGGTGCTATCTGCTGTCATCACTGCTGCTGCACTGTTGCCAACAATTCTGAGCAACGGGAATGGGCACAGAGGAGAGGCTGGGAGTGCAGGGGGCAGGAGGCTCTCTGAGGGGGCTAAGAGGCATGGAGTATAGGCTGCCAGCTCAGGGACAGACCCCCCACCATGTCACACACAGGGTGTACGGCTCTGCCATACTTCCTTGGGCTTCACTGGGCACCTGCCTTTCTAAAGGGCTGTCTCCTTCTTGCCCTAATCCTGCTGCCCTCTGGGAGAGGCTTAGGCTGCATTCCAGAAAGTTCCCACTTTCTGCTGCTTCTGGTCCATGGATCACACTTGAAAAAATACAGCTTTGGAGTTTCCAAAGCACTCGTATACCTGCTCTCATCTGACAGAAGCCTTGCAATAGCCAAGATGTACGCAAGACACAAATGCTGGCCCCATTTTCCAGGCACGGATGTTAAGGCTCAAGGAGGCCCCCAGCTGGTGAGTGCAGGGTGGGGTAGAGTTGAGGTCTACGGCTCACCACCGCCCAGTGCTTCCATCACCTCTCCCTCCTTGGGCGTGACACTTCAACTCCATACATGTGGGTGTATGTGCTTTCTCTGCAGTGTAGGCATGGAGAGAAATGGTGTGGCTCTCTCACCCCAAAAGGCAGGTTACCGACTCAGGGTACACCCAGCATTGCCTAACACAGCATGCCATCCCATCAGCAATCCATTTACCTCCCAGATGCCTACTGCATGGCAGACACCACACTCGGTGCTGGGGGCACAGCTGGGACCATGTACACAGAGTCCTGTCATAAGGAGCAGACACTCTAGAGCTTTCTTTGATGATGGACATGTTCCCTACCATGCTGTCCAATTTGACAGCCATCAGCAATATGTGGCTTCCGAGCACTGGAAATATAGCTAGTGGCACTGATGGACTGAATGTGTTATTTTCTTTCATTGTAATAACGGCTACTGTATTAGACACAGAGGCGTAGAGAGGAGATACAGGAAACAAAAACAGAAACAAGGGATGTAAACACCAGGCAGAGGATTGAAACAGGGTGACGGGGCAGAGACAGTGAAGGATTCCCGGGTCTTCAGGCCTCTCTCTGCTTCCTGGAAGGATGGGGAGGCAGGCGTGAGGCTGCGAACTCCGGGCAACAAGGCAGAGGTGACCACACCCAAGACCTGACCCGAGGCCCAGGAGACAGGGCATGCAAAGGCCCTGTGACAGGAACAAGCTCAGCCAGTCCACCGAGCAGAGTGAAGTCAGTGCAGCTGGGGCACAAAGATGGTCAGAAGAGGGGATGGGTCAGGGCCAGGACTGGGGCTCTTAATTCTGGCTGCAGTGAAAAGCTACCAGAAGGCCTAGGCAGGGGAGTGGCGTGACCCAATTTGAGTGGAACGTTCTAGCTGCAGTTGTGGAGGGTGGAAATGGGAGGAGCAAGGAGCCCAGCAGGGGCTCCCACAGCTGCCCAGGCAGGAAGGGAGGCAAGGAGAGCCCAACCTGTTCGAGACCTGTTTGGAGCAGAACGACAGAGCTGGTGGGAGAGGGGAGCAGGGGTGGAGCGAAGGAAGGAACCCAGGACAGCACTGAGGCTCCCCTGCCTGGAGCAGCTGGGTGCACAGCAGTGCCATGGCCTGGGATGGCAAAGGAGCAGGTTTGGGGGTTGAAGCCCAGAGCTCCTGGTTGGATGTGTGGTCTGAGACACAAATTAGACACCTGAGTGGAGCTATCGAGCAGGCAGTGGGATTCGAGTCTGGCAACATGATGCAACCTCAAAAAATCACATTCATAGTGTCCATGTAATGTGGAAACACAAACCCGGCTGGAAAAAAAAAGTCCACTAGTGATTTACAGGCTTGGCAACAGGGGCTATTTCACAAACAGTACCTGGGTGTCTGTGGAGCTGGGACTATTTCCCACACCTAAATCCATTCCAAAAGTGAAGGCTCACTATGATGGCAGCCTCCGGTCCAGGGTCAGGCCCCCAGCCCTCCTGGAGTTGGCCAACATGGGAGGTTCAGGCCATGAGCTCCTTTCCTCAACACCTGACTTCTCTTCTTAGCCCTGGCCAAGGCCTGTGATGACCTTATTCTGCTGTTTGTTTACTTACGACAAGCTTTGTGATGGCAGTGGCTTATCTGTGTGCTCATGGTTAACTCCCCAACTCCTGGCCAAGTACCTTGGCTCATGGTAGACTCTCAAGAAGTATCTGTGAGTGAATGAGTAAATGGATGGATGGATGGACAGATGGATGGATGAAGGAAAGGAGAAAACTTGGACAAGTCACTTCTCTCATCCATCAATGAGTACTACAAACCTCCCTTGCTCAATTTTATAATTATTAGAAATACTAAATATATACACACATATGTACACATATAATATATACACACAACTGAGCACAGCTCTTAGCCCATAGTACACAATCAATAAATAGAGGCTATGAGGATAATGTCTACGATTATTAAAAGGATCTGGACGTTAATGTCTTCAGATCAGCTCCATCAGAGCCATAAACCCACAAGAACAATAAAGCCAAGAGAGGGGACAGTAGTGAATTTTTCATTCCACAAGCCTCATCACCTCCCTCTCCAGGGCCCCCAGGGCATGGAGACCGGCAGGAGACCATTTCCCGATGCCCCTGCATCCTCCCGGCCCCCGCTGGACGGCGAAACCGACAAATGGGAGGAAGGCAAGCAAGAAACCGAAAGAGATGCCGGAATTGAGAAATGACTTCATCTGCAGACCTCATTCTGGGGCCTTCCCCTCCCCCTCCGCCTCAAGGAAAGAGCAAGACACTTCACAAACAGTCCGAAAGAAAAAAAAAAAATTTCTAATGGTGAATAAATATTTTATCACAGAGACTTAATGCAGCAGTGTTCAACTCACCCAAGCCATCTATCTGGAGATATACAACTTTAAAAAGCTCAGGCTCTCGGAGAACATTTTATTAATGACCTGTCTGGTTAAAAGGAGGAGGGAGTTTAGGTTAAAAAATGCATTAATACCAGTCGGGTACTCAAGTGGAAGAAAGGGGTCAGGGGAAGGAAGCGTGATAAATTTTTAACACACCCTAAAAAAATCCACACTTAGTGGAGGAACAAATTTATTACTAATTATGCAATTATTTCATTTGGTGGTGTGGGGGAAGGAAAAAAATACTTAAAAGCCTTTTTAAAATATCTCTAATAAAGAATTTAAGAATCCTGCTGTGTTGCGCTTCTGCAAAAGCACAACGTGGGGTGGATCTGAAGCTGCCCCCCACGCTCTGGTCCCCAGCATGGTGGCTGGGGCTGGCTCTGGCTCAGGGACCCAGTCTCAGATATGAGGGGTCAGGACAACCTGGTCTGGCAGGTCCCCAGGGTTGCTGATTAGGAAAGTTCAGGCCTGAGGGAAGGAGGGAATCTTCGGGAAACCCCACACTCTGGAACCTCAGCCTACACCCAGCCCTCTCCAGGGTTCAGCCTCAGGGAGGTCTGGCAAGAGAGGGGTCACCTCTGTCTGCTCTGATGCAGCTGATGTGACAGGAATGGCACACTGACCTGGAGGGTCTTAGGAGGGGCAAGGAGTCCTCGTAGGAGATGCAGGGTTGGGATGCAGTAAAGACGATGATGGCAAATGTCACCATCATGGACTGCTGCTGGCTTGAGACGGGGACTGTGAGCACTGCCCTCACTCTGTCTCATGCAACACCCACACCTGCCCTGCGGGGTGGGGACCGAGGATGGGAAGCGGGTGCTTCGAGTGCTCCCAGTCAGAGCTGGAAGGCAGGGGAGCAGGGATTCCGGGAGGAATCCTGGCTCCAGACTCTGGTGTACCCCACCCAGCATAGCCAAGCTGACTCAAATCTCAGCCCTTCGTTGTATGAATGGGGAAACTGAGGCCCAGGACAGAAACACAACCGCCCAAGCCTACACAGCAAGTGTGAGGAAGCTCTAATGAGAGCCCGTGAGGCTGCTCCTGGCTCTGTCCGTATCAGCACTGCGATGGCAGACCAGTCATTTCACCTCCCGAGCCCCAGCTTACCCGGCCCTCAAATCATCGTAACAACGAATGCCCTTCCTTCCTTAAAGGCAAAGAGAAAGTAAAGAAAACAGACGTGAAGGTGCGTGTGAAACACAGTGAAGTCAGGGTTGTACAGGCAGGAGGGGCTGTTCTAACTGCAGCCGGGTCTGTCCACACATCCTGCCTCCCACCACTTGATGAGCTTCACTCTCTCACTTTCCTCTGCGCTGACAAGATGAGATTCCAAAGATTTTTAAAAGCCCGTAAGATCATCCATTTCTTCATTGTTCCACTAACTTGAAATAATTTAGCTATCAGAGGAAATGCGGAGATGGTTCTGTGATACAGAGACGTTTTTATCGTACTTAAAATGGATTGAACTTGTATAATGGCTAAATACTATGAAACAAGAAAGGGAGGAAGGAGGGAAGGAGGAAAGAAGAGACGGAGGGAGGAACGGAGAGAGGGAGGGGGAAGGAGGCGACCCAAACACAGGTCCCACCAAGCCTCTCACACACCCCAGGAGAGCATGAGTGAAGGGTTCAGTCTCATCGGGCACCTGCCACCCTGTCGGCCCAGGACAGCCACCTTCCCAGCCCGGGCAGCATTTATCCTCATAACAGTCCCTGAACTGGGAACTACATCCCATCTTACAGAGGGATGAGGGGCTCCGGGAGATGAAGGGACTTGTCTGATACTACGCGTTGGCCAAGCCAGGCCTCAAGCCAACCCTCTTTCCCCATTACACACAGTAGGACGCTGGACTGAGTCCAGTCTGATGTGACTTGTGGTCCTGCCTCTGGTCCACTGCATGACCGTGGGCAAGACGCCTGGCCTGCTGAACCAATCTCAGTGTCTGCATCTGGAACGTGGGGACGATCCCCAGCTCGCGGGGTTAGAGTGACATGAGATCCTGTACCTAAGCACCTGCGGCCTCACCACCTCGGGCCTGGGCAGGGTGGCAGTTATTACACCGTTGTGACTGCCATGGACTGTGTTGTTAGTAACCACTATCCCCGTGTGACCAGTTCAGACCCAAGGACCATCATGACGGGCTAAGAGGAAGCAGAAACCAGGCTGATTTCTAGGCCCTCAGGAGGGAATTAGGGACCAGGCGCCTGGGGTAGGTAGAGGTCCCCAAGGCTCCTGCAGTGCTGGCTAATGTGACTGCCCTTGGTATGGCCCCAGAAGACAGAACACTCAACCCTGCTGGGCATATGGCTGCTCCCAGCCTCTGCCATGGCCCATCTGCCAGGTCCTGTGACGATCAGCTCCAGGCCCCTGCCTGCCACACGAGCTGTGTTTCCCTGGCCCGAGGGCCCTTTGGCTCTCCCAGCTGCTGAACCCAGCACTGCCTGGGGCACTGGGACAAGACAGAGCCACTGCACCCTCCCACACTGGCCTCAGGTCAGTCTCTCTGGGGGAAGCTGGGCCAAGGAGGGAAGCAAGGTTAACTGATGCCTGCTGGCCCCATAGGCTGCTCTGAAGCCAGCTGGGGTGAGGATGGGCATGGCGCCTGCATCTTGGGCAGCAGGTGGTAAGGAAGGGCTGAGAGCCAACTCCATGGAGGCCTTGGGGGCATTAGGTGAGCTCCAGCCTTAATCGTTGGCCGCCATTCCCACTTCATCTACACACAGCTATGCAGGAGGGGCCCCAGCCATAGCAGATGCCATCCAAACCCACAGATCAGAAGGCCAAGAGGGACATTTGCCTTTCTTAGAACAACCTCCAAGGACAGAGACCATCCGTTGGCTTTCTCACTTTCCCATCACCTCATCCTGCAGGGGATTTGAGGCAGAATTGGGTGTTTGGTCAACCTGGGGAGTGGGGCAGAACAGAAAGACCTGGATTCCTGCCCAGCTTGGCCTTTCCTTAGCAGCTGCCTGACTTTGGAGGGCCCACAACTGGGGGCCACTTCCTGAGCACCCCAGGGTGCTGTGCTGTGGTAGCTGGACACAGTGACAGGCAGGGGCTTTGAGATGACAGTCCTAGGTGTGAATCCCAACCCCACCACTTCCTGGGGAGTGCCCTGCCTTAAAGCCCCAGTTTTCAGGGTTGACGAGGGAAAATGGGATAGGCTGCCCAGGTCACACCGCTACCTGGCCGTGGAAGGTGCTCTGTGACTGTCACCTCCCGCCCTTCCCGCGGCAGCCTCACCTGGCAGGAGGAAGGTGGTCCTGGTGGCAATGTTGATCTCTTGCAGATGCTCCAGGGTCTCAGTGTGGAAGAGGCGGATGGAGGTGCCAGAGGAGAAGGCCATCCAGACGCCGCTGCCTGCCTTCACCATGTGTGTCACACTCACTGCCTCGTCCTGGTGCGCCTCGAAGCTTTGCTGTGGCACAAAGGGAGGGGTGTCGGTGCTGGCTGGGCCTGCCAGCTGAGCCTCCCTACAAGGCCCCATCCCTGGGCCAGCCATTCTCACATTCTTCAAAAGCACAAGCTACTCAGGGCTGGAAAGGAACCTTAGAAGCCCAGCTGTGCTGTGTTGGCCAAAGTTTAACAACTGGAACCTTAGAAGCCCAGTAGTGCTGTGTTGGCCAAAGTTTAACAACTGTCAGGGAATCCTGCTTTGCAGGGTTTGCCAATTTCCATGGTGTAAACATTCTAACGTGGCCAGTTGCAAACTACCAACATGATATCACCGAGTGAGGAGCAGGAAAGACACGCACACACTCACTCACAAGCCAATAGGACCAGGCACGGTCCAGTGACCCCTCAGAGCTTTACCTTACTGAAGGGGAAGATGGAGCCAAAAATCACGAAAGAAGAAGTTATGGTTTACGTAAATGATTTAAAGTGACAAAGGCAACCGACAGAATGACTGGGTAAGGAATGGGGGTAATATGGGCCAAATCCTCATCTTTCACAGCGAGGAGACAACAGGTAATGTCCCAAAATTGGTACATCAGGAAGCAGCAGAGTGAACAAGTTTGGGTCCTGAGGAAAGTGCCAGGTGGATTAAAAACAGAACAGGTGAAAAGCGTTCTCTTCCAAAAAGCAGGACTGAGATAGGGATGGGGGACAAGCCTTTCAGGATAAACCACTCCATGCTTTTTGTTTTGTTTTGTTTTCTTGCAAGTACAATTTTGATCTTAAAACAAACAAAAACTTTTTAAAAAAAGAAGATACGAATGATCAGGCTTCCCCTCCACTGCAGAACAAAGCCCAAGTTCCTTAGCTCAGCATTCAGGGCCCCAGTGCTGCCTCCACTCCTGCCCTTCCTTGTGGGCTCCCTACGTGTCAGGCCAGCCAATGCTCAGGACGCACCACACAGCCGCACCTCTGCCCTCGCCATGACTTGCGCACAGCACGTAACCTCCCTCCCCAACTGTCCTCCTTCAACATCTGAAGACTCCACTTCAGGGTGGCGTCCTCAGTCCAGGAGGCAGGCCCCACCCCGCCCAAGGACCAGCCACTTCCTTCTGAATGGTGTGCTCTGCTGTCTAGCCTGAATACCTACACCATTCTGTGGCTGTTCTTGGCCACTTCCCACATAAGACTGTGGACTCCAAAGACAGAGCCTGAGCCTCATGCCCTTTAGTGTCTGTCCCCTGCTTGACACAGGGCCCAGCACAGTAAAATTTGGTCAAAAAATGAACGGATGGACATTTCAATTCCGTCTACAACACTCAGATGTCACTAACTCAGGCACACCAGACTAGAAACAACCTAAATGCCCAAGCCTTGGGGACAGCCAGGTAACTCTTTGTATCCAGCTCTGTACTGTCCTCCCTGCATTTAAACTCATACTTACAGACACTGCATGATGGACACAGAAAATGTGAATGCTACGGAAAATGAAATTTTAAAAAAAAACCCACACCCAAAGCTGGGGGAAGAAGAGGGGCAGGGGAGGGAGAGCTGCACCCTGAGGATTACCCCAGGAGCAGGATGGGGTACATTTCCTCTTTTCCAGTTTTCTGCCTTTTCTCCTTTTTCCGTAAAGAATTTGTCCTGGGTGGAAGCCCAAGACTGCAGGAGGATCCTGGATGGGGCATTTATTTGGGATCTAACCTGCTATTAAATCTGACTTCCTTGGCAGCTTCACAGGCCAGGCCTCAGTGTCTTCAACTGTAAGTGCAGGCTGCTATGAGGATTACAGGGACCTGGGTGAGGAGAGCTTGGCAACAGCCCGGTGCCTAGTAGGGTCTCATTTATTCAGCAGATGTTCTGAGTCCCTACTGTGTGCCTGGTATGGGTCTAGGTGCTGGAAATGTCGTGATGACTGCAAGACCCACTCTTGTGGGGCAAACATTCCCAGGACAGGAGGCAATTAAAACAAAGAAAGATTACATCAGATAGTGAGAAGCACTGCACAGAAAAAATACTGCGAGCCATTGACTGGGGTCAGGGAGGGCCTCTCTAGGAGGTGACATTTAGTGAGAGACCTGAATGATGTGGAGGAAACATCCCTGTGATGATTGGAAGGAGGGGGAAGAGCATTCTAGGCAAAGGGCACAGCAGTGCAAAGGCCCGGGGGCAGGAATGAGAAGTAGAAGGACCCATGGTGGGGGGCACAGCAATGGGACCGGCCAGAGCAGGTAGGGCCAGATTGCACCAGGCTACCTTGGAGTCCATGGGGAAAAGTTTAGATTTTATTTGCCCACTGCAGGGGGTTGAGCTGGTAAGTAACAGGGTCAGTTTTACTTTTAAAGAAATTCAGTCTGACAACAGTGTGGGGAAGGCTGGCTTCTTGGTTCAGCCCCCAAAGACCTCGCGTGGGCTTAGCAAGTGGAGTGGGAGGAACAGGACTCAGCCTCTTTTGCCCTGGAGGATGGCCCCAGCTCCTTCCCAGCTCAAATCACTAAGCGGTTTCCCACTGAGTTAAGGAAGCTTGTGAGGGGCAGGGGTCTCCATGGGGAGCTGAGCCAATGAGCTCTGGGCTCATTCCTGATCAGAGTGTGGGGACCAGGAGGGCAAGACTGTGAGCTGTCCAAGGAAATTGCTTTTTCTGAGCCAGTCCCTGATGGCTGAGCTGCGAGTAGCAAGGGTGGCAGGGGGAGCAGGAAAGGCCAGGCTCCCCAGAAGAGGGGAGGGGAGGGGAGAAGAGACAGCAGTGTGGTTCCTCTCCCCAGGGTCAGGCTGCTCTTGGAGGGGGGGGGTTCTACTGCACAGCCCACCCCTGGCCAGGGGGACGCCCCCAGAGCAGACGCGGTAGTTTCCTCAGACCGAAAGTTCACCAAAGGCAGAGGCGCGGTGTCTCCATTGGGTGGGGACCCCAGGAGAAATGACAGAATCTTGTATCAAGCTGGGCATGCTCAGAGGAAGCGAACTGTCTCCTCTCTCAGACTGGGGACTCAGGCTAAGGGCTCCGGAGGTATCGGGGGTCTCTTCCTCTTTTCTTAGCCACCCACTCCCTGCCCTCAGAGAAGGACCAGGTGCAGAAGACTCAGAGCCTCCGATTTTGGGGAGGAGGCCACGCCTCCTCACAGCCTGCACAAAGTCAGGTTCAGTAGTCCATGCCATATGGGCGAGAGACCATGTCCCCATCTCTCTAGCCTTCCGCCCATATCTGCTGCCCACAACCCAGGCAGTCCTGGCTTTCAGTTCTCTCATCCTGAGATGTGTGCTCCTTCAAGGAAATATGCAGAATAGCTTTGTTTTGCAGAACCAGCCTGTAGGAGGAATCCAGAAGGAAGGAAACCTCCCACGAGGCCTTGCTGGGAAAAGCCAGCTGAGGCAGCATCGGCCCCAATCACAGACGAGGACAGTGAGGCCAAGGGGACCCTGTCAGCACCTGTCAGCGAGCAGCAGGGCGAATGGAGGGGGCAGCAGGACAGTCAGTGAGACCCAACATGCTTTGTCTGCAGGCTTTTCCAAAACACGGCACGCACCTCCTTGCTCACGGATGCACAAACCTGCACACACTGGGAGAGGTATCTGCACGCTCACACGCGTGCAGCCAGCCTCCCTCTCGACTCCCGAAGAAAGGTCAGAAGTACTTCCTGCCTCCGAAAAAGCCAAGCGCACTGAAACCCAGAGGCCTGGGACCAAGGAAAGCTGCACCTGAATCTGCAGCCAGCCAACCCTGTGTGCTGCTGTCAGAATCTAATTAAAAGAGAAGTCGGTGGTGGAAATCCAGGCTCATTTCTCCAGTGGCATAACAAGTCTGTCTCCAGGCCCAGAGGGCTTTGCAGAAGGCTTGTGCAAACCTGCCGAGCCCAGAGCGGGGAGGCGGGCGGGGGAAAGGGCAGGAATGAATAGGAAGAACGGCACAGCATCTCCAGCTCCAGCTCCAGTCCCAGTCCGGCATGTGTCGGTTACCTCTGGGCTCCTGGGTCCCCTCCTCATGCCAGGAGCCTGGAGTCCTGCCTGAGCCTCCTGGGCCCACAGGGCAGGGAGTAGGTGGAGCCAGAGAGATGTGCCAGCATCACGGGTCCCAGAGGGGGCTGAGGGACTAAGCCTGGCACCCGGGTGAGAGCAGGGGGCAGTGATCACCTGGGTGAGAGCATGGGGGAAGCCCTCGCTGCCCACTGATCTTGCTGCTGGCAGGCCATGCAGTTCATTTCATTTTCCAAATACAAGGTATCCATGTACCCTGAGAGCTCAGAATTCATTGCCAGGGGAGGCTGTCAGCTCATCAAACTCTGCTCTCCTCCCAGCCAGGAAAGGGTGAAACCCTGCTCACCCAGCCCACCAATCCCAGGCCACGCACCTCCAGACCTGTCCCTCATCCTTGGCTGGTCTGGGAGGTCCAGGCGTGTGGGGTTGGTGGGGTGAGGGGCTGTCCTACTCTCCAAGAGGCCTCTATCCCCTTTATCCCTGAAAAAGGCCACCTACCCACCCACTACCAGGAATGCCCAGTGCTTCCTGTCCCCTCAGCCTCCATGATCAGGCACAGCTATTTACTGGGTGAGTGCTCACCCTGCACCAGAAACCGTGCTGTTAGGATTATAGACTAGAGCAGCTGTCTGCAAACAATGCCCCTCAGGCTACAACCAGCCTGCACCAGTTTTGGTAAATGAAGCTTTATTGGAACACAGTCACACCCACGTAGAAAAGAATCCATTGAAGTAGCTCAAGATCACAGCATTCCAACTGTACACCCCTGGTCCCTGCTGGAGGACAAAATGATCTGCAAGGGAAACCTGAACTTCTTTGGCAGGCTTGGAGGTGGTGAGGCAGGCACAGTGATTCTGAGCCTATGCAGTGGGACTGAGATACACTGATGTTATTGGGAACCAGGGTTTGTATAGATAGAAGAGAATCGGGTGTGGAATGGCAGAGATGAGGGTAGACTCTAGGATCTCAAATCTAAATTAGAGATACCAAAACGAACTCTGACTCGAGAGTTCTTCCCTGGCCCTGTCCACTGAAAGAGCCTGAAGGCAA